GGGAGGAGCCGCAGCGCCGGGCGACACCTCCCGGGCCTCGGGTCCCATCACCTAGGACAGCATGCACCTGAGGGCCCTGAAGAAGAGGCACAAGATGTTCAAGTGACGATCAGAAACAACTCTGAGGCCCCCAGGGAACCATGCAGTCATCAGCACGCAGGCTCCGAGACATCGAGCACCACCCCCTGCTGACCGAGAAGGACAGCTATGACTCCTCTGTCTTCGTCGTCGTCCTCCTCCTCGTGCGAGGCCGACCCTGCGGACAGGGTGTGGTTCATCCAGGACAGCTGTGGCATGGTCTGTGCCGTCATGACCTGGCTCCTGGTCGTCTACGCCGACTTCGTGGTGACGTTTGTCATGCTGCTGCCTTCCAAAGACTTCTGGTACTCCGTCATCAACGGGGTCGTGTTCAACTGCCTGGCCGTGCTGGCCCTGTCGTCGCACCTGAGAACCATGCTCACCGACCCGGGCGCTGTGCCCAAGGGGAACGCCACCAAGGAGTACATGGAAAGCCTGCAGCTGAAGCCGGGCGAGGTCATCTACAAGTGCCCCAAGTGCTGCTGCATCAAGCCGGAGCGCGCGCACCACTGCAGTATTTGCATCGGGAAAATGGACCACCACTGCCCGTGGCTGAACAACTGCGTGGGCGAGAAGAACCAGAGTTTTTTTGTGCTGTTACGATGTACATAGCTCTGTCTTCAGTCCACGCTCTGATTCTCTGTGGATTTCAGTTCATTTCCTGTGTCCGAGGGCAGTGGACAGAATGCAGTGATTTCTCACCGCCCATTACTGTAATCCTGCTCATCTTCCTGTGCCTTGAAGGTCTCCTGTTCTTCACTTTCACTGCAGTTATGTTCGGCACCCAGATCCACTCCATATGCAATGACGAGACAGAGATCGAGCGATTGAAGAGTGAGAAGCCCACATGGGAACAGAGGCTGCGCTGGTAGGGGATGAAATCTGTCTTTGGGGGGCCTCCCTCGCTCCTCTGGAGGAACCCCTTCGTGGGATTTCGGTTCAAGCGGCTGCAGACAAGAGCCCGGAGAGGCGGTCCGGAGTTCTCAGTATGAGGTGCGCCGACGGCTTTGGTCTCGTTTCCACCTGGTCTGAGGGCTCGTCTGGCCCCGCAGGGCGCCCTGGACCTGTGCACCGAGCAGGCCATTTTCTGCCTTCAGTCACTGGCGGTTGCAGCCACTCCAAGAAGCCAAATGTTCTCTTCCTGTGCAGCAAGGACTTGTACTAAGCAAGCTGCGTTTTCTGGAAGCTGTTGGGGTTATCCCGCAGGCTGCTGCAATCCTGTGATGAGCTGCATTTTTCAGTCCTGAAGAATCCAATTACCACGAGTCTCCAGACTGGCTGCTCCAGGGTGTCCCGGGCTTCATGGGCAGCCCAGCCTCATCGCAGAGGGCTGTTTACACAGTAAACTCATCTCCGTCTTGATCCGTGCTGACATTTGCCTGGCACTGAGGCTGTGAGGGACCCGTGTGCCCAGAGCAGCCATCTGAAGCTGCCACCAGAGGAGCGGCATTCCTCAGTCCCTGGCAGGTCCTGTGTGAGCGAGTGAGTGTGAAGCCAGCAGTGGGGTGGAGAGGGAGGCAGGCTACGTGGCCGTCAACAGCAAACATGCTGCTTTTCGAGGGGACATTCTGAGAAGGGGTGCTTCCCCCATGTCCTGCAGGTCCAACAGTGGCTCCATCCAAAGTGCAGCCCCCAGGCCCCCTTCTCAGTGTTTTCCCATCTGAGTGCGCAGTCCTGGGAACGGATGCCCTCAGAATGGGACAGCAGTGTCCTGCGGGGGCCTCTTATCAGGGTGTGGGATGGCGACCCGCACAAGTGAGCCTGGTGACTCCGGCAGAAGGGACGGGAAGCCACGCCCTGGCAGGAGTGACTGTGCCTTGGTTGCGGGCAACGGTGGAAGCAGGCGTGGGCGCCGGGAAGAAGCAGGACACGTGGTGGCAGTGGCCAGTCTCGTCGCAGTGTCATTTATGTTTACTCTTCTCCAGCCCCACGGCACGAGACGGGACTGCGGACATTCCCCTCCCGGGGACTCGCCTTAACCCGCCTGGTTTGCACAAGCTTTGCAGATGCCTCAAGAAGTGAGAATCTCAAATGGGGGGAAAAAAAAAGTGAGAATCGACTCATGCAGGTTCCAGAGTCTTCCAGAAAGTCTGGCATTTGCCTCTCGTTCTGTTCAGCTGTGGCCTGTTACTTTATTTTTAAGAAATGAATCTGTACCCCATCCTAATCAGGGCTTATACCACTGTTGAAGCAAAGTCACCAAGGGACCTACTTGGCCCACAGCTGGCAGCCACATGAACAAAGCCCGGACACGTCACGGAGCATGTGTGGCTGGGCGCGAGCCGCCTGTCTGCACATCGGGGGAGCAAGCTGCGCCCCCATCTCTTATCTGTGGTGTGGGTCAGGTGTGTGCTGAGCTTCCACGGGAGACTCCTAATGTTATTTCCTGTTATAAAATGTTATCAAATCACCGGAGCAGTTGGCCCCTGTGGGACTCGGCGGGGGCCCTGAGCCTCTTCCTCCAGTGTAACTTTTCTATGAAATAAACTAACCGGCTGACAGTTCTCAGAGGAAAAAAAAAAGAATAAAAAAACCCCAACAGCAACATTTTGATAGCCTCGACGGCACATAACAACAACAACAACAATATGTACTAAGCAGTAAAGAGTAATCAGTATAAAAATGGCTTTTGAAAGACTTAACAAGAGAGCATTTAAAATGTATGTGAAAATTGGGGAAAATAGAGAATGTGGAAATAATTTTTTTAAAAATAATAGTTCTGCATTACTAACTTAAAACTCCTACTTCCCCTTTAATGTATGAATTTGCTTTCTTTCTGAACTGATGGAGCCAACCCCTACCCAGAGCAAATTCTTCATCACAATCACCTTCACTGGCCACACATGCAGGTTTTAAATCATTGAAAAAGCGCTAAGCCTTTTATTGGAATAAAACCCACTCACTGTCCTTGAGTTGATTCCATCTCATACCAACCCTCTAGGACAAAGTCAGACTGTCCTATAGAGTTTCTAAAGTTGTAAATCTTTGCAGAATTAGATTGTCACAACTGGCTCCTCCAGAGCAAGGGTTGAACCACCTGCCTTTCAGTTAACAGTGAGTGCTATTAACCATTGTGCTATGAGGACACTTGCTTAAATTAATCCAGAAACCTAAACCCATTCCCACTGAGTTGGTTCTATCTCCTAATGATCCTGTAGGACTGTGTAGAATTGCCATTTAACTTTTCCAAAGCTATAGATCTTTATTGAAGCTGGCTGTCTAATCTTTGTCCCATGGAGTGACTGATAGGTTTGAACCCATTACGTTTTGGTTAGCATCCAGATGCATTAACCACATGCCACCAGAACACCTTTCTTGCACTAACAAATGAAACTCAAAGCCACTGCCACAGAGTCAATTCCAACTCTCTTGTGACTTTCCATTAGCTTTCTGAGATGGTAGATCTTCACTGGAGGATATTACCCATTTTTCTCCTGTGGCATAGGGTTTGAACAGCTGACTTTGAGGCTAGCAGCCCAACACAGAATATATCAGGGATCTTTCTTGCACTAAAAGAAGACTCGATAAAATCATATGTATCTACTAACCTACACATTTTACTTTAAGACTTAAAGACATTGTACAGATAACTTCTTTTACACTGTTGTTGTGTCATGGAGTTGACTGCATAACAGCCCTATGATTAACAGATCTGAACCTCACCCTATCTTGGGTCATCCTTATTATCTCTGATGTACTCCAGTCCATTGTTATAGTCACTATCAGACCGTCTTGCTTGTTTTCCACTCTTTCACTGACCCTCCCCTTTTCAAACATGACGTCTTTTTCTCAGGACTAGCTGCTCCTAACAGCATGCCCAAAGTCTGTAAAATGAT